TGTATGCATTTATAATCTAAATAATTGGTGTAAGAAATGATACACATGGCACATACATAAATTTAGAAATGTCCTTATTTTAATATATAGTATAGATTTGGTTTTAAGACAAACTAATTTTGACTTGGCAAGTTTTTTTTTCCTTGGATCAACTTCAACTATTTTAGTATTTGTATAACGCGTAGAGACTATTAATTTCGCCATTTTTTATTATATAGCATAAAGTACTCATGAATAAAACATATACTTCGTACAAATTAAAAAAAAAAAAAACAAAAAAAAAATTAAGAATCGAACTTTAATTTTGATAGGTAACACACAGACACTACTAATTTGATGGGAACGATATCAAAGTTTGGCCTTTGGACGGCCTGGAGGCCCTAGACAATACTAAACTCTCCTCATATGTATCCACATAAAAAGTATCATTATTATTTCCAAAAGGCTTTACTTGACAGCTTGTAATGTTACCCAAGCTTAGGCTCCATAACCTGGGAAGCCTTAGCAAAAATGTTCCAGACTTCTCATCAAAGGAAATCAAATTATCTTTGTAAGGCTTGAAGATGTTATAGCTATTATCACTTGAACCTCCTTTAGACCATACCCTCCACGGGTTGTTGTCGTTGTCGCCGCCATCCTTACTCATGATCCATACGCAGCTACTCTTGAGCAATACACCAAAGATGGCTAATGATTCACCAAACACGAAAAGATACTTAAGCATTTCTATTGGAGAGTCTGGAAGTTTTACGCAGCTAAATTTCTCCGTACTAAAATCAAAGGAATAAACAAAGGGATATGGATTATATTCTTCTCCATTATACTTATACACCATCCAATATGCAGCCCCTTTTAAATACACGTAACACCCTGAATCAGATGCAATAGGACAATCTTGTTTAGTTGTTTTCGTCGACCAAGTATGATCATTGAGTGAATAAACTGCAATCGAAGACGACAATTTATGATGATCCACTTTATCTCTTCTAAAAACAACCACCCTAAAATCATTACACGAAGAGACGAACCCCAATACAACTTTGGCGCAGCCCAAAATTGGGTACGGTGGAAGTCACTACTAGAAATAGGCTAAATAGCGACGGAATTGTTGCGACAAGCCTTTTTTTCCGTCGCAATTTTTACAATTTTTGACGGAATACGTTTCGTCGCAATTTAGCGACGATGTTGTGTTCGTCGTAAATTTTCCGACGGAAAAAAATTCTGACGTAACAATAAATTTCCGACGGAATATTCCGTCGTAAAGTAATTTGCGACGGAATATTCCGTCGGAAGAGGTCATTATTACGACGGAATTTATTTCCGTCGGAACTTATGCGTTTTTTTAAAAAAATGAAAAGATCTGGCTTGACCTAAAAAAAAGGGGGAAAGACGGAATTGAAGTAGCATCAGAGAGAGAAAGAGAAGGAGAGAGAGAAAGAGAAGGAAAGAGAGAAAGAGGGCGGCGCGTTAACTCCTGCCAGCGATGGTGACAGCGACGGTGACGCCTGTCGCCGAGAACGAAAGAGAGAAAGAAGGGTGAAAGAAAGAGAGAGGAGAAAGAGAACGAGAAAGAGAAAGAGAAAGAGAAGGAGGAAGAGAGAGCTGTCGAGTTAGAGGTTGACGGTTGTGGTTTTTTCCGCGACGCAACTGCCGCGTCTAGGTAAGTGTTGCCCAGTTTTGGTTTTTTTTTTTTTTTAATTTTGCAAAAAAAACCACTACCGGCTAACATTTAACCACCACAACTGTAGACACCCATTTGTGTCTCCCCAAAACCAAACCCGGTGATGAGTACCTTTCACGTCGAATCATAATCGAATGAAACGAAAGTGTGGAAAGGTCTAGTGTTGCGGAAAGTTTTATTTCTTTTCTCTTCTCCCTGTTTTTGGAAACTTTATTTTAAGAAAACAGCCAATCCAGTTTGGTTGGTCCATGATATGGGTCCAATAGTGGTGTAGTTGGATGGGGCTTGCAAAGACCTTTCCAACGATATATTATAAGCCCAATTCCGATGAATATTGAGGAAATTATTGCCAATTTACTAAACTGGGTCCGGTTTGAGCTTTATGTACGACCCAATGATCTAGGGGAGGGCCTAATATGATTTATCATTCCTCGGTTTTAGTCTTCTAGAACATTCTAGAAGGTTCTTATCATTCCTAATTCAATTAGTACTCTTCAGAGTTTTAATCAAGATCAAATAGCATTTTCGAGGAAATTATATTATTTTATCTTCCAGTACGGGAAATTTATCAGATTTTCGAAAACACGTTGAAAAACAGTTTGGCGTCCAACCCCAGGCCTTGGCGCCTGGAACCAGGCTTGGCGCCAGTAGACGCTAGCCATTGGCGCCTGGCGCTAGCCACTGGTGCTGGCGCCTATGTTGTTTTACGATCTTCATACTCTATTTTGTTAAATTATCTTTTTTGGCTGATCTTCTCTATAAATATCGTATCAAAAAAAATCCGTTTTCATTCACCAATCACCAATTACCAATTACCAATATCAATTCATCAATTCTCATCAACTCTCTTTATTCACAAGTCTTCATTCACTCATCTTCATCAATTCTCATATAACATTAATTCTTTAGAATTCTTCTTTCTTTCTTTCTTTCTTGTTTTTCATACAAAATTCCGCATTCACAAGATCTAGAAACACCTAGCCATATTCGAAGTTGCCTTCGCCCTAGACGTGAAAGGTTTTAATTTCTGAGGGTTTGGTCCCAAATCTCTCTTTAAATTATTTAATTTAATTGCTTTGATTATTATTTTCCTTGAAGTTACTAACGTGTGTATTTTGTTATTAGAAAGAGGTACGAGGCATCAAAGTAAGTACTTAATGGTTTTAATTGATATTATGATGTAGAAATCATGTTTATATTGTTATTATGATATTCCTAGTATCATGTCTAGGGTATTTTTAATATTAAATATGATTGCTATGATGCCTTTTATGTTCTTCCTAATATTTATGATTGTTAGTATCATGTTAGGGCTAAAGATTTGATTTTTATTGTTTAGTGACATGCTAGGGTTTGTTATTAATCTTGTTAGTATCATGCCTAGGATCTTGCTATGCTTTAACATGATCATGATGATTATGATTATGATTGATATTATTGTTATTAATGATGTTGATTATTTATTATGTTGCTTGATATATTTTATTGTTATTTCTTGATCACCTTTTATTGCATGTTAAAGGAAATTGGTACTTGCAATCACGCTTAATAAGATAATTAATAATCTTGTTAGGTTAATTGTGATTATAAATTCAAGTGATCGCCAACAATAGATTTATTTGTGCATTAAATTCAATTAACATAGATAAACAGGTTTAGGGTAATCCTATTGATTGTATGTTAATCAGAAAGCGCACATGAATACGAGCAGAATGAAGTAGAGGCCTATTAAGTGCAGGTTCAATCTCTTTTAGGTTGGATTTGTACCGTCATCCTCGAACCCTATTTTGGTTCATGACCTTATGGAGTTGACGATCTCTTGGATCGTTAAGGGGTGTAACCTTCACCTCGTGAACGGTTTACAAGTTCCTTAAAAACTTGTTGGCGACTCTTTTGCTCTATCTTCTTCCCTTTTGGACGCCACCGTACTTTAGTGTATGATCACAGTGGGGTTCAAGCTAGTGGGATTTTAAAGGCTTGAAATTATTCCCTACAACAACGCAGCCTCTGCGCCGCACCTCTGTCCCCTCGCCGTGACTGAACCACCTGGCAGTGGTTGCTTCCGGCGACGCAACTACCGCGTCTAGGTAAGTTTTGCCCTCTAAGTTTTGGTTTTTTTTTTTTTAATTTTGCCAAAAAACCACCACTGGCTAACCTTTAACCACCACAACGCAGCCTCTGCGCCGCACCTCCATCCCCTCGCCGTGATTGAAGCACCTACATTGATATTGGCTGAAAATTCAGTAAGTTGTCCTTTGCTTCCCCCCTTTTTTTTCAATTTAATTTTGTTTACTTATAAACCCTTACTTATTTTATTTATTTTTAATTTTTTGTAGGATTTGTAAAATTTTGTTGGTTTAATTGTTAAAAAGAAGTGCAGATCTAAAGGTTAGTTACATTACAAACCCTAATATAATGTATGTGTGTATGTTACTTTGGTTATTAGATAGTGTGTTGGGTTTTAATTATAATGTATGTATGTAGGTTAGTTTGGTTAATTTAGTCACAGTGGTCATCTCTTATAATTAATTAATTGCTCCCTTCTCTTTAAAAAAGCAATGTTAGTTTGGTTTAGTTTAGTTTAACATGATGTAGTTTAGTTAAGTTTATGTTAATATAATGTATTTTAGTTTAATTTTGTAGAATTATGTTAATATAAAGTATCTTAATTTAGTTTAGTTTTTTTGGAATTATGTTAGTTTAATTTAATATATAAAACGGTAGTTTGGCTTGGTTTAGTTTAATATGATATATTAGTTTACTTTGGTTTGGTTTATATTAATAGTATGGTCTTATGATATATTTCTCTTGTGTAGTTTAATCTTGATATATTTGTTTAATATTATGTATGTTAGTTAAGTATATATATTTTTAAATAAATCATTTGCATAATAATATACCTAGATATTATTAGGAGTATGTCTTGAATAGTCCCCGGTTGGGACTGTCCTTGTACGTTTATTCTCACTTAGGTGGTGAATGTATTCCTTTGTTTTAATTCTAAGGAAGATCCTTGCTTGTCATTTCTCTACAATGTTCTCTAGGTACATATATAGGTGTTTCTAATCGCCTATATTGTGTACTTGGGGAACTGTAGGGAGATGCTGCCGGATTTTCCATAGAATTGAAATTCTGGCATACATTCACTAGTGAGATTGAAAATACAAGGATGGGTTAGGTTAGAGTGATAAGGACCCATGGAAATCATTTCTCTTCTCATTTGCATTTCCATAACAGTTTGATCTATAATGAATATATATTGTGCTTTATGACTAATGTGATTAATGGCATATGTGTTAGTTGTGTAGAACTTGTAATCATGAAACGAAAAGAACTTAGCTGGATGTACGAAAGGAAGGTTGGGAATTCTATTAATCCTGAGTTCTTAAAGGGGGTAGATGAATTCCTTAAATATGTGGAAGATCATCCCGAGAGTAGCAACCCGAATGAAGTTAGGTGTCCATGTTTTAAATGCAAAAACAAACGTCTTTGGGATCCAGATACGGTTAAACTTCATTTGTATCGCAACGGTTTTTTACCTAATTACTATGAGTGGATGTGTCATGGGGAAGGGTTTCCAGGAACTCGTAGAAGGCAGTCAAATGAATATCGTGAAATGGTTTTGGATGCCTTTGGTCAGTCTCAAGATCAAGGCCATTCCGAAGAGTCACCTGTTTCATTAGAGAAGGAGCCTAATGCACAAGCCAAGCCATTTTTTGATTTGTTAAGGGCTTCTGAACAACCGTTATATGAAGGGAGTTCATTGTCTGTGTTAGAGATGGCTTCTAGAATCACTAGCCTAAAGTGTGAGTATAATTTGCCGCACAGATGTGTTGATGGATTTGCTTCTTTGGTTAATGAATCGATTCCTAACAACAACCACATGGCCAAGACATTCTATGAGGTCAAGAAAATTGTTAAGGGGTAAGAGCTGCCCCATGAAAAGATTCATGCATGCCCGAAAGGATGTATGTTATTTTGGAAAGATGATGCTCAATTATCTACATGTAGGGTGTGTGGCAGCGACCGATACAAGAAGACTTCTAAAGGTAGCTTAGTGCCTTTGAATGTTCTATTTTATTTCCCTATCACACCTAGGTTGCAAAGGCTTTTTGCAACTAAAAACATTTTTGAGGAAATGACATGGCATGCTAAAAATCCTCGAGTTCAAGGCACAATGGCACACCCTAGCGATAGTGAAGCGTGGAAACACCTAGATAGTTGCTTTCCTGAGTTTGCCTCTGAACCTCGTAATGTTCGACTTGGTCTATGTACGGATGGATTTGCTCCACATGGTCAGTTTGGGGGACAATATTCATGTTGGCCTGTCATTTTGACCCCTTATAACTTGCCTCCGTCAATGTGTATGAAAAGACAGTTCATGTTTCTTTCGTTACTCGTTCCTGGTCCTAAAAACCCTAAGGGCAACTTGGATGTTTACATGCAACCGCTCATACACGAGTTGAAACAGTTGTGGGAAGTTGGGGCAAATACTTACGATATTTCGAGAAAACAAAATTTCAATCTTCGAGCAGCCATCCTATGGACCGTTAGTGACTTCCTGACTTATGGTATGTTATCTGGTTGGACCACAGCCGGTAAGAAGGCTTGCATGGAGAAAAGCAAAGCATTTTGGCTCGAAAATGGTGGTAAGGTTACTTGGTTTGATTGCCATCGTCAATTCCTTCCGACAAATCATCCTTTTCGAAATAGTAAAAATGCATTTTGTAAAAACAAAGTCGAAAAAGGTTCACCACCTCACATCATGTTAGGAGAGGAACTTTGGGAATGTGTGAAAAACCTCCCGAAAGCAACAGATGGCCCCGAGGCACTGAAACGTCTCAAGAATGCAAAAAAAGGGTGGTTCAAGCAAAACACTCTATGGGACCTTCCATATTGGAAACATCTGCTTGTTCGTCATAACTTAGATTTCATGCACGTTGAAAAAAACTTTTTTGATCAGTTGATTCACACTATAATGGACGTGAAAAAGCTATCTTGTGACACGCCATCAGCTCAGAATGACATTGCTAAATACTGTAAACGACCCCAGCTACATCTTCAAGAGGATGATAGAGGAAAAGAATTCATGCCAAAGGCTCCATTTGCACTTGACAAGGCTCAGAGAAAGGTTTTGTGTGAGTGGGTCAAACAGCTGCGGTTTCCTGATGGTTACGCTTCCAATTTGAGCCGATGCGTTGATTTGCAATCAGGTAAGTTACATGGAATGAAAAGTCATGATTGTCACGTGTTCATGGAGAGGTTGTTGCCCACTTCTTTGAGAGAATTTCTCCCTACCCATATATGGAATGTAATTACAGAGATAAGCCAATTCTTTCGCGATTTATGTTGCTACACAATTACAGTTAGCGAGATGGAGCGATTGGAAAAAAAATAGTTGAGATCCTGTGCAAGCTTGAGAAGGTTTTCCCCCCATCTTTCTTCAACTCCATGGAGCATTTACCAATTCATTTGCCATATGAGGGCAAGTTATGTGGACCTGTTCAATATCGGTGGATGTATCCTTTCAAAAGGTAAATCAAAGGCCCTTTCTCAACTCTTACTTTCATCTCTTTCATTGCTTTTCGTTACTTATACTTCTACGGCTATATAAAAATAATTACAGGTTCCTCAATCACCTGAAACGAAAAATTGGTAATAAGGCTCGTGTTAAAGGTTCCATATGCAACGCTTATCTAACTGAAGAGATATCAAACTTCTGCCCCAATTACTTTCAGCCCTCAGTTGACACAAAAACACGAGATCTAGTTCGAAATGTGAATGCTGATGTGGAATCCCCGGCTGACAACGATGAAATCCCAGAGCTGTTTACGGTGGATAAGGGTCGTGTGTCAAATTTGGGTAAAACTCGGTATTTAGATGACAAGGAACTCGAACGTGCTCATTTGTTCGTTTTAAGAAATACCAGCATTCTTGGTGAATACGAAAGGTATATATGTTTAGGATAAACTTTTGAAAATACCTTAAATTTAATATAATTGCTGCAATGATTAACCATGTGTCATTAATTTATTAGGCAGTTTGAGGACTACATTCTTAGTACTAGAACTTATTTGCGTCGAGAAGATGTCATGGAGAAATGCGAAAGTGAATTCCCTGATTGGTTTCATCACAAGGTGATAATACTTTTCGAACATTGCATATCGATTAACTTGTGATAATATAACATATTTCATTTCAATTAGTGTGACATTTGTATTCGTAACGATTATAGGTGAGAGAACAGAAACCAAGTTCCGATGTGTTGCGAGCATTGTCTATGAGGCCTTTCAAGCGTGTTCGAACTTGGAACCAGATATTTGTCGGTGGCTTTAATTTCCACACACAGTCCTATGGTAAACACAAATCTACGATGAATTACGGGGTGTGTGTCTCAAGTGAGGACGGTGGAGAGTACTTTGGCATTTTAAACGACATATTTGAACTTGTCTACACCGGTCCCGAAAAAGAGTACAAGACTATTTTGTTTAGTTGTAGTTGGATGGATTGTGGTAAAGGAATGAACATTCATGAACAATACAAGCTTGTCGAAGTAAATCATACTAAGAAGTATCCCAAGTATGATCCATTTGTCTTATCTTATTGATATGTCTATTTTATATAGTGTTTTACCCCCGTCCCGTGGTCGTTATTAGTAGTGTTTTTGGCTCTTTCGGGCCACTTTTATTACTAATTTGTGTGTTCTAGTGTTTTCGTAGTTTTAGTTGTATTTTACAGGAAATTGCACCCTTGGAGCATTTTCCCGGGCTTTATTGGATCGACTACGGAAGCTAGAAGGACACGACCATTTTTGGAGCCCAAGATCGGTGAGAGCCGGTGACTAATGGCTCGGTGATTTGGATCACGAGGCATTTGGACCGAGTATTTAAGACCCGAGAGGAAATATGGATTGGGCCGAGAAATCTAGCCCAATCGAAGTTCAAGCCTCGAAGATGAAGACCGGGCCCGATCGGGCAAGCATACGCCCGATCGGGCGGCTGCGCGCATGAGGGCCATTAACGAAAAGGCGCGCCCGATCGGGTGAGCTAGGCTCGATCGGGCGCGGCACATCAGAAGAAGCGTAGTAAAAAAGGCGGGCCCGATCGGGCGGCCCTTCGCCCGATCGGGCGCGTGTTTTCCTAGGGTCTGATTAGTTTAGTTTTAATTCGTATTTTAGGAAAGGTTTAAATACAATTTTGTACGGAATTATTAGGACCTCATCTCTTAGATCTTCTTCTTAGACTTTCTCTCTCTACTTAGACTTCTCTCTCTTAAACTCTCTCTAAACTTTTGTTCTAAATTATTTCATTAATTCCAGATTATTTTGGTAACGATTTCTCTTCCTTTCATCTTAATTATTTTTATTCCTTTCATCATGATTTATTTTATTACCTTGATTAGTTTAGTTTTTAATATGTGTGAGTAGTTCAATTTCTAGGGTTTACGGGGATCCATAAATAATATGAAGGGGTAAATTATTGTTGTTAATTATCAATGCTAGATTAATTTCCTATTGATTGATTTATGCTCTGTGACTAGATTAGGCCTATCTTTTATGCATGAGTTTGACAATATTGATTCAAGAATCGAGAGATGAGAATTAATGTTTAGGTCTAGTTTCAATAGGCAAGTTAATTTATAAATGGTTAAGTCAAGATTCGAGAGATAAGATTTAATACCGGTAAATTAATTGTGTGATTGTAATACGTAGCGAGAGCCCTTTACAATCTGGTTAATTGATGCATTGATGATTGACTATTATTGATTATTGGTATTGCATGGTAATTTCTTATTGGATTGTTTTAATGTTTTACAATTGCGGCTTGTAAAAGTATAGCAATATTAAATTGATGAATCGAGCAGATGTTAATTTGATATTAAAGGCTATTTTCAATAAGAACTTAGATCTAGTAAATTGCGAGAGCCTGTTAGATCTATGTTGATTAATAAATTGCGAGAGCCTGTTAATCATGTTATTTATGCAATGTTAATGATTGGTTACCCTGTTTTACCCTGGAGTATTATTTATTGGTGAACCTATGCCCTAGATCCTTTTGTATATTATTTTCTCCCTATTCCTACTCTTTGTAGTTTAGTTTCTTATTCAACTTTTAATATTGGTTACTTAAATAGTTTAGATTATAATAATAAATTAGGAGTAAAAAGACTTGTTTCCCTGTGGAGATCGACCCTACTTCCCTATCTACCTTAATTAGTGATTTAGGTAATTATTTTTGATTAGGGGATACGACTTTACCTTGTCAAAATTTGGCGTCGTTGCCGGGGAAACGGTTTTATTTTTATTTCTGATTGTTTTTGTAGTCTAGATTATTTCTCTTTTGTCTCAGAGAGCGTTAGTTCTCTGAGACAAATCCTGAGATCGAACGTTCCTTCCATAGACAGAAAAACTTCTACAAGCAAATCCTGGCGGATTCTGGTGATACTAACAATAATCACCGCGATCCTCCAACTGATTCCAGCGATTTAGAGGCATCATCAGACGCAGAATCAGAGATGGCGGCTCCAAAGAATCTTAGTGATTATTCACAACCAAAGCTTGCGGATTTTCAACATCTCACCCCTACTCCGGCTCTTGATGGGGTTCAATTTGAAATTAAACCCCAATTTATAACGATGATGGAGAGGAAGCAATTCAGTGGATCCAAGGGTGAAGACCCGAATCTTCACATTGCCGACTATTGTCAATATTGCAACACCATCAGGCAAGCCGGGGTCACTCAAGACCAAATCAGGGAGATTCTCTTTCCCTTCTCTTTAACTGGAAAAGCTAAATTGTGGTTTAATGGCTTAAATAGAACTACACTTGGTATAACTGACTGGGAAACTCTTGTTTTGAATTTCTATAACAAGTATTATCTTGCAGAGAGAACAGCAGTACTACGGAATGCAATTCAGAACTTTTCCCAAGAAGCCGATGAGTCTTTATATGAGGCTTGGGAGAGGTTCAAGGACTTACAAAGAGAATGCCCTCACCATAAATTAGCGCAATGACAGTTAATCCAAGCCTTTTATAACGACATTGGAAATTCTTCTAGAATAATTTTAGACTCTGCAGCTAGTGGGAGATTTATGAATCTTAATGTTGATGATGCAGGTTAGGTTATTGAAGACATGGCGATACACAATTCCCAATATGGGAATACCAGAGGATTTGCTAACAAGGGGAAACATAGTGTCGACTCTGTATCCTTTTTGCAAGCTCAACTAACCTCTATTTGCCAAAAATTAGATAATCTGAGCAGTGCTAATGTAGCTAATGTTTCTGCAATTAATAATAATTCTAATGATGCTTTCTGTGAAAATTGTGGTATTGTAGGTCATTGGGAGCAGGATTGCAGGAGTTCTGTGGAGCAAGTTAATGCCTTCCAAGCTTATAGGCAGAATAACCCATACTCCAACACTTACAATCCTGGGTATCGGAATCATCCATACCTTTCCTACCAGAGCACTAATGTTCAAAATCCACCACCACAAGAACCACAGGTGCCACAACAACAGCAGCAGAAATATTACCACCCCAATGCTAGCCAGAAGAATCAACCACAACAACCCCCCTCATCTTCCGACCCTTCTTTGGGGGAAATTAGAGCAATGTTGGTTAATATGCAAAAGCACATGGAGAGCAGGGATGCGACAATTGATCAAATTCTAGCGCATAATAAAATTGTAGATAATCAAATTGCGCAACTCTCCGCTACTCTACAAGCACGCCAACAGGGAGCCCTGCTGGCACAACCGACTAGGCCTACAGATCAAGCATTTGCAATTACTCTAAGGAGTGGTTCAAACTATGAAGGGCCCTCTATGCCCAGAGTTGATGAACCTGTTTTATTAAATAATGCTAATCTTGATTCCGTTAAACCAAACAATGTAGTTGATAGCCCTGGAGGGCTAAAAGATAATACTAACATATATAATTCTACATTGCAGGGTACAACTCCATAGAAGGTGGCTACTCCAGACAAGAATAAGAATGCTCAAAAGCCAATCATCAAACTTCCTTTCCCCAATCGTCAATTGAAGACAAACTTGGATAAGCAGTTTGGTAAGTTCCTGGAGGTGGTTAAAGATTTGAAGGTAACAGTTCCCTTTACTGAATTGATCACACAAATCCCCTCATATGCAAAATTTATGAAGGAAATTTTGACGAGAAAAAGGTCTATTAGTGAGGTAGAGACAGTAGCTTTCACTGCAGAGTGTAATGTCGTACTTCAAAATAAATCTCCACCTATATTAAAAGATCCGGGTAGTTTTTCTATCCCTTGTCACATTGGCAATCTCTTGATTGATAATGCATTATGTGATTTGGGTGCTAGTGTTAGAGTCATGCCATTATCTGTGTGTTCTAAGTTGAATATGGGTAAATTAAAAGCTACCAATATAACTCTACAAATGGCCGACCGTTCTTTCAAATACCCCTTAGGTGTTTTAGAGGATATCCCCGTTAGAGTAGGTAAATTTTATATACCTGTAGATTTTGTTGTTCTTGATATGGCTGAGGATATGCAAACCCCAATTATTTTGGGTAGACCATTCCTTAACACTGCAGGAGCAGTCATAGATGTAAGAAGTGGTAAGCTAACACTATCAGTAGGGGATGATAAAGTGGTTTTTAATTTGAATAATGCCCCCAAAAGCTCCATGACTGAGGAGAAATGTTTCAGTGTTAATGTGGTTGTAAATTATTCTAACAAGCCCCAAGCTCTTGAAAAAGACCCCTTGGAGGCGGTATCTTGTGTTGCATCCCTTTCAGATGAGATAGACAAATGGCAGAAGGAAGTCGACGCAATAGAAAGAGCACTCTACAATGTTGGTCTTGGTTTCGAGGATGAACGAGTGGAACCGATCGAGCATGTTGTGCGAATCGAGCCTACGGTAAGTGTTCCGCCGAGTTGCAAGTGTTGAACGCAATGACAATTTAAAGCAACATTCGATCGAAGAAGGGTTTTTAGTGCGTAGCATTGAAGATCCCCCATTCTAAGTCAAGGAGGATCCACCAGATAAGGCGACTTGGCGTCCCACAGGTTATCTCAGGAAGCCGCATCGCAGCCTAAAAATCGTTAGACTGGGTGAGAAACCACCTGATCAAGCGTTAGGCCAAGGGTCCTAGGAATTGTACTTGGTAAGAAGGTCGTGCGGGACCTAGATAAACCAGCGCTTTCCGGGAGGCAACTCGTATTTTATGCTTTCTAGATTGGTTTTCCTTTCCCTTATTTTTGTTTTTATTTTAGAGAGGTGAGGACAGTGATATTTTACCATTTTTTTTAGTGTTGTTGTACAGGTATGAATTTGACAGGTTAAAAGACTTAGAAAAAAAATTGAAGAAGAAAAGAAATCGGAGAAACTCCAGGGCTTGGTACGGGCCCGATCGGGCGAGGCTCGCCCGATCGGGCGCGCAAGTGAGGCAAAAAACGGAGAAAATTTCACCCGGTCGGGCGAATCTGCCCAATCGAACGCGCAAGCAGAGCTGATTTCGTGGCGAAGCTTGCCTGATCGGGCGCAAATCGAGTGAGAAGGAAAGAAATATCGGGCAAAGCTCGCCCGATTGGGCGAGCAAAGGGTGAAATTTTTTTTCGTGTTCGCGCC